AATCTTTTGAAATAATCAAATTAATCTAAAGTCCAAAAAATCTTATTGCAAAAAATTCCACTTGTTCAATTATTAAATTGCCCTCATTTTTTTAAGTATGCATTAATAATTAAAAGATAGTCATTAACAACTTAATATATAACAATTAACAATTATAACAACTCATGTGTGACATCTTTGTGACATGCGGAAAAAATCTGTTATTAATATTTGCCGCGATAATTGTTAATTATTTCATCTTAATTGATAACAAATGTCTTTTCAGTTGTTAATGCATACTTGAAAAAATGACAAGAATAATTTAGTAATTGAATAAATAGAATTTTTTGCAATGAAATCCCTTGAAACTTTGGATTAATTTAATAATTTAAAAAGATTTTTTGTTATTTATTTTTCTTGGGTGTGACTTTAATGCAATTTTTCAAGAAACACAACTTTCTTTGTTTAATATTCTGAGCCATCAAACTACCTTATGCGCATTTCCGATTAAACAAGACACTTTAACCATCAAAATTGACCTTCATTTTTTTTTTTTGCAAAATTAACATTTAGTAATAATAGGGGTCATATTGCTACACCTTGGGATGTCTGAAGTGGACATGACACCACTTAATAATAAAAAAAAAAAATTAACAGCAGTTATAGATTAAAAAAATTCCAAAAAACCTAAAATTATTATTTTCTAATTCAGGTACCTAAAAGTTAAAAATAACAAAGAAGAAAATAGTGTCCCATATGATATTTTACAATTATAATTAAATGACTAAAATGCCCTTATATCAAATTTAGGAAAAAAGGTTATCAAACTTGTCATTGCTAGTACATTTTTGTCATTGGCTGTTCAACACTTGTCATTGTCAATTCACAAATTATTAATAAATAGCTTATCATTACCAATACATTTCTTAACGTTTACTATTCAACAGTTATCATTTTCAATTCAAAACTTGTTAACAAACTTTTTAGTATAAGAGTATTTTAATCATTTAATTACATTTACAAAATACTAGATCAGGCGCTACTTTCTTTTGTCATTTTCAACTCTTAAATATGTAATTTAGAATATTACATTTTTCAGCTTCTTTATTTATCATTTTTCCTAGATAAAATCCATATAATTAAATTAGTATCTCAATATTAAATAGTTTTTTTTTGGGGGGGTTATTGGACCTTTGAAATATAACAACCATTACAATTATTAATTTTGACCAGAAGAAAACACATTTGAACATGTTGCCACGTTATGACTGAAAGGATCACTCAATTTATTACATTTAATCTCTGCTTTTCAAAATTTGTAATTTACTAGAGTTAATCCCTCGATCAGTGTAATTAATTTAAACTGCATAAGTTGACTTTGGGACATCTAAAATTTTTACTACTACCGATAGATACTGCACTGCAAATTGCATCTACAACCAAACCCGAATTATCTTTTCCCCTATTATAAGAAAAATTAACACAATATGATGAAAATTCCTTTGGATTCTTTAATAAAAAATTTCTTGAGTCATTGTAGTATGTTTATACATACTTCTTTTTCCACTCCTCTTTCTGATAGATGTGAAGATGGGGAGGAGAAATGCTATTAACTGAAGCAATGAATAGCATGAAAAGTGAAAGCATTTGCTCTTGAAGGGGAAAAGGGAATGATGAGACTCAATGAGAATAACTAAATTTTGTATTGGGAACATTAAATTATAAAATCATCCATATCAACAATACTCTAAAGCTTAGGCCATCATCTTTTTCCCCCCTTCCAATTGAATTGGAATGTTTTTCTCACATACCCACCTGAAGAAGTAACATGCTAATGCACAGCCAGCTCATGTCAAAATTAGCTGATGATATTGCTTACACAATTCAAACCAGATATGAAAATCCATACTAGAAGAACTCAAAGTCTAGATATTTACCCCCAGACTTCATGTCAGTACCTACCATCCTCTTACTATTGTTGCCAACCGGATCTGGTGGTCCGAATCTTACGGCCCAGGAATCTCACTCTCAACTGGTCTGGGCACTTCCGGGGGCGTGCTGCACCTAATCAAAGCCCAATTTACACCCTCAAAGAAGGGATGCTGCTTGAGCTCAGTTGCACCTCTCTTTACTCCAAGCCGATTCTGCGGTTCCTTCACCAGCAAGCCTCGGATCAGATCCCGGCTAGCATAGCTAGTGGCCGGTGACTCTGGAAATTTGAGCTGCTGGCCAACCACATTGAACAGTGTAGCACGATTCCCTGATCCTTTGAAAGGCGTTTTACCATATAAGAGCTCGTGTAGGAATATTCCAAATGTCCACCAATCCACTGCACTGCCATGACCTTCTCCTTTGATGATTTCAGGAGCAAGGTACTCATGGGTTCCAACAAAGGACATGGACCGAGCTGAAGTGGGCTCGGCCACAAGCTCGGGAAGTGTGTTGGCTGATAACCCTGGCTCAGCTTTAGGCTTCTGTGATTTCTTGTTTTTCTGAGGGAAGAGCCGGGGATGAAACAGGCAGGTTGGATGCACACTGATGAAGGCTCAGTACAAGCAGGTTGAACACAAATGCACCACCACCTCGTTTAGGGTCACTATCAGATGTTCTAATCAATGTTGTTGTGAAACAGCACATCTAAGGGAGAGATCAAAGTCCGAAAGCATAATGTGACCATCATCTCGAACCAGCACGTTTTCTGGTTTAAGGTCTCGATACACTACTCCAAGCATGTGGAGATATTCAAGCGCTAAAAGAACCTCCGCGGCATAAAAACTACAAAATGACAACAATTAAAATATTATCACATGCTAAAATAACATGGATATTTTTAAGACCATGTACACAGCAGTTAATGTTCTACAACCATAGACAGGTATTTGAGTAAAATTTCCCTCACCCTTCAACCGCAGACAAAATCTCCAGATAATATATCATGGAAAGGAGGTTGATATATTTAAGATATAAAATATATAAGTACAGAAGCTGATAAAATATAAGGATTTCATCACCAAATACCAGATAAAAAGGAAAGATGCCCATCTTGCAGACTCAGTACTAATTCTTTTATCTTATGTTCTGTTAAAAAAAAAAAAAGTACTGATCAAGGGAGACAACCAATTTATGGACTTGAAACCAAGAGAAATGCAGGCGTCAAATCACATAGGTCTCACAAGGATAAAGAAATGTCGGACAGAAAGAAGTCAGGAATGAAATATATGCGCCCCTTCTTCAGAATACTAGAATATTGTTCATCATATACATTTAAGGCATCAGAGATTGAACCACTTTCTCAGAGGCCAAAAGATTGATTTATTTAGAGGTATTAAGGATTAAGGAATATATTAGAAAGATGAAGTATTGTACACACATGTCACACACATACAGATTACTGACAAATCAGCGAAGAGCAGATCATTGCAACAGAATAAAAAGGAGCAAGTACTTATCAGAATGTAAATATGTACAATTTTGAAACATACCGAGCAGCATACTCTGAGAAATGTTTCCCAGGTTGACGTTGCCTTAAGGTGTGCAGGTCACCTCCAGGACAGTATTCCATCACCAGACAGGAAAATCTGTCTGTCTCAAAATGAGTATACAAAGTTGGCAGAAATGGATGGTCAAGCAGCTGCAATATCTCCCTTTCAGTTTGTGCCCTAGTCAGCTTCTTTCTGGCTTCTAGGGATGCCTTGTCCATAACTTTCATCGCAAAATAACACCGTGTTGCACTCAACTCTGAGAGATATACACTTCCGATATCACCACAACCAAGTCTTTTGAGAAGCTTAAAATGACTCATACCCAAAAACCCATCCCGAGCTCGGATGGCAAGGATAGCCTTCCACCGAGGATCATTTCCTTTGTGAGGCTTATTGCACTACCGGTAACATTGCTCCAGTTGCTATCATCACTGAACCCACTGCTATCACTTGCTTGACTAGCACTAGTTTTTGTACTCTCCAGAGAATCACCCCGAACACTCCCCTTTGTACAATCAAAGTTCCTATCTAAACTAAGCATGCCATCACTAGTGAGCGCATCACTCCGGTATGTACTAGCACAACTATTAGCAATGCTCATTGCTGTGACAACACCAGTACTATCAATACTACTAAGTGGACTGACATTTCCACTTGGAGGCAAAGATGCATCCCAAACACATTCTTTCTCCTCAGAATCTGGAGGAAGGAGAGAGTGATCAGTATTCTGTGATGTACGAGGACCCAAAACAGGAGAGGGCAAGTTCCCCACACCACTTTGTTCTTCAACTAGACTTTCTGCAGGGGAAAGAACAGCTGGGCTTGGTTTTTTAGGCGGAACACGAATTGAGAGATCTTCTAGGGCAGAACCCTTCACGGAAAAGCTCTTCATTAAACCTCCAGCCTCAGATTTGTTTTGACCAATTGGTACATAAACTGTTCTCATGAGATCCGTATCAACAGGTTCAGGGGGGTGACTAGCACCAGCAAATGAACTGGGGCCTCCTCCTCCTCAAATAAATCAAAGCTCCCCTTTAATGCATCAACGTCAGATATAATTCCTTCTGATTCTGGTAAAGATGCCTTTCCTTCCGTGATCTTGCAGGTGCAAAGTGAACAGGTTCATGAGAGCCTTGACCATCAAATCCTATATCATCTCTAATCAAAACTAGCCTGGCATTTGATAGCTGAGCCACTTCTCTGATAGAGGCCAGCCGTGTGATTGGTCTATCCTGTGCTTTTGACAATTGATGGACTTCTCTCACTGAAATCCCACGCATACTCGAAATATCCTGTGAATTTGACAACTGACCATCTCTCCTTGCTGTACTTGTGTGTGGATTTGATACCTCAACTAGAACAGGTAATGTTCGCGGAAGTGTCTTTGGCTCTGAAACCCTCTCCATGTCCCAAATTACTTATCATCACACAAAGACTTCAAGGTAAAAAGACCCTGCAAAACAGAACCAAAGTTCATTCAATAGGAGTTTCAATTCCTTCCTTGTAGTAAAAAGCTTTTACAGAAAGCTAAAAATCTATCAAAGAATCGTGCTATCTTGATTTGCTTTTGTACATCGGGCTGCAGAGAACACAAACACCATCACAAATTAAATGAACATAAAAATAGCACATACAGAAAAGCCAGTAGTAGCATGAGACCCCAAGCAAGCAATCCTAACCTTAATCAACCGTAACACTAACAGTCTAAACACTAAATAAGTTGTATCTGATTATCCATCGGTACAGTCCACAGGCCCATTTTAGGGAACATCAGCTCACATCCTGTTTAAAGCTTGTGGTCTATATAAATACTAAACAGGGTTTACTGGTTTGCCAAAGTGGTTGTGAATCGTTGCTTCTCTCTTCGGCCTCAATAAATCCTCCTGTTCTGCCTTTGATCTATAGTTATCTCCATAATTTAACTTTTCTAGCATAATTTGCAACCTGGAAAAGGGGAAAAAAAGAAGGAAGAAATGGAGGAGTATCTTGAGCTTAAAGGTGCTTGATGGCAGATTTAACCATCAAAGTCTAATTGACACAGTACACAGCACACCTAAAAATGCAAATCCTTGAGGAAAAAGCCTGAACTCGCAACGTTATGACTAAGCTCAGCAGACCAGGATGCTACATCCTTCATCTAATCATAAAATCACAAATCGATAACTTCAGTCCCAATAAACTAAAAAAAGAATAGCATCTGTTCATTATAGAAAGAAAACCCATAATGGAACATGAAAAAGAAAAAGTGCGAATGAGAGATAAGCAGACAGACAGACAGATAGGGAACAAAAGTGGAATAAAGAATATATCAGAAGGTCGAAAATGCCAAAATGCTAAACGCCTCTTGACCACATTCCTTCTATCTGCATCATAGAACAATCCTACTCTCAAGCCTACGCCAGAATATTCAAAGAACGAGTGAACCCAAACCGAAAGAGTCTGAAATTGAAAGAAAAATGAGGAGATGAAAAGATCTAGGGCAACCCCAGAAGAAGAAACCCAAAAAATGAAGAAACAAACGAAACATATAAAAACCCACCATTCAAATGAAGCCAAAAATCACTCACGAAGCTTGAAAATAATTGGGCATGTCTTGGTTTCTCCCCCCCTTTCGCCCTCTATGATCTTCAAGAGCTCGAGGGAGCTCAGAGCTTCGATTTTCCCTCGGACAGCCCCCCTCCTCAAGCTCAGAAAACAGAATAGTGGGAAGGGAAGAAGGTGATCCAACACAAGAACAAAAGGAAGGAAAAGCAAGCAGAGAGCTTGACCCTTGCTTTTCTCTCACAAGAAAGCAGTTCTTTCTGAGACTAGAGAACAAGAGGAAGGGCTTTGGTGGTGATAGTAATGGGTAGCTTTTGCTTTATTTTCTTTGTTGTTGTTGCCGCTTTGAATGGGCGCCTAGCTGCCTGGAACCAGTACACTTTAGTCACTGGAGAGAGGCGGAGAGAGAGAGTGGGCCCAGTAATGGGACCAGAGGTGTTGGTTCTTTAAGCTACATTGGTTTTCAGAGGTGGGGACTGTGAAGGCGAGGTAACTCTGCTCTCTCTCTCTCTAATTATCTCTGTCATCGCTATGAAAATCCTCTCTCCAAGATCGGTTTTGGATTCCGCACCGCAACACAGCTCCTCAGGTTCATCGTCTCTTTTCACCATCTTCCCCGCGCGTGATTTGACCCTCCGCTTTCCTATTCTCTATTTCTACAATAATTTACTATTACAATTACTATTTTGTGTGCATATATTATTATATATTTCTAAAATGAGAAAATATCAAAATTCCACCATTGCTGAAGGCAAAGTTCAATTCTAATGTATTTTTTTTCATTTATATTCTTGTCATTCTTTTCATGTGGTACTACTTCTATCATTATCATTATCTCCTCTTACAGAGAAGGTTATGAGTTCTATCTACCATGTTATCATGTAAAGGTAAGTGTATGAGTGTAAAAGGCATGTGGTCTCTTCCTCACATAAAAAAAAATTAAGTTTGATTCTAAATATAATATAATATTTCAATTTATTTTGACTCATATTTATCATTTTTTAAATTATTTTTATTAATTGCATGTGTTAAAAAAGTTTGCATAAGGGATTTTTTTGGCCCAAAGTCAACGATAATTTTAATGCAAAAGATTTAAAAAGTATTTTAATAAATCCAATACATATTTTAAAAATAATAATTCAATTAGTTTTATGGATAGGAGATGTGATATATAGTTAGTATTATTAAACTAAATTTGAATATTTTTATCAGGATAAGTTTCTCATATGAGCATTTTCATTTACTAAATTCAAAGCTTTATGAAGAGAATTTCTATTCTAATTCTATCTCTTTTTTCATCTTTTTTTTTTTTATTGTGGCAATTTTTTTCACCCGTTTAGAAAGAAAAATAAAGGTCACGTAGTAAAACCAAACGAGGCGAGGAAGAGGGCGCGTGGGTCTACGCGGTGTTGGGGTTTGATTTGACGCGCCCCCATCATTCAGCGGAACAAAAGTAAAATGAGCACCACTCCATCCTGATTCCCTGCCTTTCCAATTCTGACACACATGAGACGTCTATGACCCAAATACTTCGAATACACATATACATATAACCCTCTATTTTAATTAAAATGGTGAATTTGGATTTAATTTAAAGTACTTTGATAAACCTTTTTTTTGTTAGTAATATATAATTAATTTTAAGGAATAATTAATGGAAGGAAATTTTTGTAATTTTAAGCAAACAAAAATCATCGAATTTATAAAATAAAATGAGATGGAATTTTTTGGCTAAGATTTCATTTAACAGTTATTCATTATTGTCAAAAAATTCATAATTTTTTTAAGAACTAAATGAAATCAAATTTAAAAATTTAAATTTTATAATATAGACATTTTTATATTTTAATGTTCTTAGAATTGTATCGTTCATGATAGTAATTTAGTTTCTTCTTTGGAAAGCGAAGTTATATCAAATGCATTGTAACCTAGCAGCATAAAATTTTTATAAAAGTGAAGATTATAGATTCAATTTCCAATAATTTTAGATTCTGTTTGGTAAAAAATATT